CCGAGGCGGACGCCGGCGTCTCGCCGTCCGTCTCGGCGATGCTGCGGAAGGTGATCTTGTGGACCGGCTCCCTCTCCAGGGGCACCGGGTGGCCGGAGGTAGACGTTCGCACGGGACGGACGGGACGGATTCCCGGCGATTTCAGCGTGTAGGCGGTCTTTCGGGGCTGGCAGGCAGGAGGAGACACCACATCTTAAACCTCACCGTTTTTCCTTTTGTTTTTATACCCGAAATGTCATTTTACAAATGACATTTCGGGTATTCAAATGCGTTCCGAAAGCAGCTTAAGCGGCGGCTTACAAATCGAGGCGCTTGTCTGCAGTTCCTGGGCTCGATCTCCATGGATGTGTTGAACAAGTAGTCAGAAAACTCCTTTTCGCTCCTGTTTCCCATCGGGTTCAAGTTCTCAAAGAATCTCTGAGGATTGAAAACAAGTCAGTCAACGCCTAAATTTCAAAAATCTTTTTTTTTTTTTTTTTAAATCCACGTTATTTTACTTATCTATTAATATCATGTCGAGATAAGTTCAGTGCTTAAAAAAAGCGCAGTCCGCATGTTAACGTGTCTCATGAAAGATGAACCGTTGTCATCTGATTTATAGCTCCAAGTCAGATTACCGACGGACTTTGGTCGAGTTTTGTGATGTCATACTGAATGCTTAAAAGACTGCAAGTCAAAGTGTTTAGCTTCTGGAGTGGTAGTGAATAAGTAGGATAAAGTTGGAAATGTAGTCTAAAACTATTGCATGTTAGTAGTAGTGCACTCTCGAAAAAGGAGTCTTGATGTTCTGCGTGCTAGCGGCCGTGGCAGGAGTCGACCACCCACCCTGATGTCATGCTCCACTTTAAGGCAGTAGGGCTGGTTCTGGTACTGCTGGATCTCGCCGGTGATCTCTGCCACTTTTCTCCGCTTGCTGAAGTTGATCAGCTCCTTGCCGTGGCGTTTCAGGAAGTCCGGATTCCCCTCCTCCGTCTTGAGGATGTTGGTCAGGTAGATACCTGTGGAGAGGAGGGTGACGTTTTAGCCCCAAGCGGACAAAGACACGGCTGGGAAAGGCTTTGCGGCGTACGAACCAAAGAAAGGCACGCAGGGCGGGTTGATGGACTTGAGTTTGGCTAAGTACTTCTTGAAATGGTCTTGACTCAGTTCCACCGCTTCCTCCAGGATCTTCTTCTTCCTCTCCGGTATGGCCTGCAGACACACGCACACGCATGTACACCATCAAATGAGGCCATCTTTAAGGAAATGCAAGTGACATATTCAAGTTCTCAAAGAATCTCTGAGGATTGAAAACAAGTCAGTCAACGCCTAAATTTCAAAAATCTTTTTTTAATTTTTTTTTTAAATCCACGTTATTTTACTTATCCATTAATATCATGTCGAGATAAGTTCAGTGCTAAAAAAGCGCAGTCCGCACGTTAATGAAAGATGAACCGTTGTCATCTGATTTCTAGCTCCAAGTCAGATTACCGACAGACTTTGGTCGAGTTTTGTGATGTCATACTGAATGCTTAAAAGACTGCAAGTCAAAGTGTTTAGCTTCTGGAGTGGTAGTGAATAAGTAGGATAAAGTTGGAAATGTAGTCTAAAACTATTACATGTTAGAAGTAATGGACTCTCGAAAAAGGAGTCTGATGTTCTGCGTGCTAGCGGCCGTGGCAGGAGTCGACCACCCACCCTGATGTCATGCTCCACTTTAAGGCAGTAGGGCTGGTTCTGGTACTGCTGGATCTCGCCGGTGATCTCTGCCACTTTTCTCCGCTTGCTGAAGTTGATCAGCTCCTTGCCGTGGCGTTTCAGGAAGTCCGGATTCCCCTCCTCCGTCTTGAGGATGTTGGTCAGGTAGATACCTGTGGAGAGGAGGGTGACGTTTTAGCCCCAAGCGGACAAAGACACGGCTGGGAAAGGCTTTGCGGCGTACGAACCAAAGAAAGGCACGCAGGGCGGGTTGATGGACTTGAGTTTGGCTAAGTACTTCTTGAAATGGTCTTGACTCAGTTCCACCGCTTCCTCCAGGATCTTCTTCTTCCTCTCCGGTATGGCCTGCAGACACACGCGCACGCATGCATATACACCATCAAATGAGGCCATCTTTAAAGGAAATGCAGGTGACATCAATTAGTTTAAGGGCTACTATTTCAAGATAGCCAGTGGAATCTTTCGCGAAAATATGGGAAGCATCAAGCAGAGGATGGCTGAACTAATACTTGTTTTCAGCTCAAAGTCATGACCGCCAAAGTTGCGCCCCCCGTTCCCAAACATTGCTCTTATCCTCGCAAGCTCCTCAATCAGAAGTGGCATCTGACTTTTGGACATCCTCCCAGAATAACGACATTCCTGGTTGCTCGCCTTCTTGAAATGGTCTTGACTCAGTTCCACCGCTTCCTCCAGGATCTTCTTCTTCCTCTCCGGTATGGCCTGCAGACACACGCGCACGCATGCATATACACCATCAAATGAGGCCATCTTTAAAGGAAATGCAGGTGACATCAATTAGTTTAAGGGCTACTATTTCAAGATAGCCAGTGGAATCTTTCGCGAAAATATGGGAAGCATCAAGCAGAGGATGGCTGAACTAATACTTGTTTTCAGCTCAAAGTCATGACCGCCAAAGTTGCGCCCCCCGTTCCCAAACATTGCTCTTATCCTCGCAAGCTCCTCAATCAGAAGTGGCATCTGACTTTTGGACATCCTCCCAGAATAACGACATTCCTGGTTGCTCGCTTACTGGGTGGAGGGGCGAGGGGGCGCTACATGCTACGTTAACTGTCCCCTGTAACATGTCGATGGGCAGCAGCTATGAGTTGCGTGGTGTGGGGATCCCCCTCCTCTAACTAACCCCCACCTCTGCGGTGGAAAACAAGCTCGTCTTCTAGCGAGTAGCGGTGTCACCACAAAGGAGGACGAGGAGCAGCCAAGCATGCAACACGCCACGCAACAACAGAGAAAAAAAGCTAATGCTAATCGCAAAAGTAATGTGAAACGCAGAGTCACAAAAGACCAAACCGGTGTTGGGGAAGTTCATTTTCGACATGAACGAGTTCAAAGTTCAGTTCACAAACGTTAGAATAAATTAGTTTGGTTCAATTTTTTTTTTTAAACTACATTCACCCGTAGTGTTTATTTTTGAACAATATGCTGCTGCGAACCATCACCATTGCTGACATCCGCATTCGGGCCACACTAGAAGACAGCTGCAACTTTCACCCTCCAATCTCGTGTTGGTTGAAGGCGCTATTTTTAAATGAGGAATTTCAACAAAAACAGGACAGTGGTCTTTAATGTACAATCCAAACAAGGAACCAGGCTGAGGTAGGAAATTGGCGGTCACGCAACGCGCTCTGCTGGAAGTCAAACAAAGCCTGGCAAAGTCTCGAACAAAAATGAACTATTGTTCAAAAACTGTTCAAGTATCACAAAAATAAAGATGAATGAGGCCACGAGTTTTTGTCGCTTGAACTCATTCAAGTCCTACACTGGACCACAATAAGTGCTTAGGTGAAATAATTATCTGGAAATAGTTATTTGAGGAAATTTGGTCAAACTCAATTCGAGGAGGGTCGAGCATTTCTGGAAATAAGCTTTTTGAGCAAATCCGGCATGCGTCGACGGTCTTGCTGACCTCGTAGGTGTGGTCCAGGCGGTAGACGGGCACAGAGTTGATGGCGCTGACCACCTCCAGCACGCCGTTGAAGTTGTTGAGCTCCTGAAAGACCTGCAGAATCTCGATGACGCGCGTCCACACCGCCACGCGCTCCTCCAGGTTCATGGTCTCCACGATGCACCTGCCACCCAATTTCCGACACTTAATTCGGGCGGCGCCGCAAATAAGCACTCGTCGGTGCGACGCTCACTTCTCAAACCACAGCGTGAGGTTGGTGGTGTGTCGGATCATTCGGAGCAAGTTGGGCGAGTTCTTCTCTTTGTCCTCTTTGGTCCACACGCTTCCCACCAGCTCGGACGGCCGCACGGCTCTGCGGATGGCAGGCCGCCGTCA